AGCCAGCTAAATGCATCTAAATCAAGGCATGAAGGACATTCCTACCTTGCTGTACACAGTCAGTATCTGGTCTATAGTTTATTATTTACTAGTAACAAGTGATCAAATGGCAGTTATCTTTTATCTCATGGATGCCTAAAAAGAAACAAGTTGTTAGATCCAACTAGTTTTTGCACTCAGTCGTGTACAATTCTCCTTTTTACTACAGGTCTCATCCCATATGGCTTTAGGTCCCACAACCCCCAGCAAAACCTTTTGGAGTAGTCAAAGCAGAAACACTGTTTGAGCTATCAAACCCAAGGATTAAGTTGGTAGTCATTCTAAACACATTAAATTCATCAGTGCAGAGTTCTTTGAATTCTGTATAATTAAACATTCTCGTTGCTCCAAATATCATATGACTGAGCATGCAATTATACTCTGGCTAGCCATTGGCTTTGATGGAAACACACTCCATTGCAGTCATATTGCTTTCTATCAGTTAACCTCCCAGAGATTTGTTAAATAAATTTTTCTGTTAGGCAAGAAGAGTCATTTTTAAAAAATTACCCTATCAAATCAGTTTCATGAAAGAGTTATTTCATGCCTTGAACAGATTTTATATAACCATCACTTTAGCTTTTCTGGCCTTCGATCAAGCTGTGAAGTGAAATTATATTAAATAAATATGGAAAGATTATGCATCAGCCCTGTGTTATATTGTGCTTTGCATAGTAATGGAAAGACAAAAAAAATTACATTACCTCACATTTCTAGAAAAAATAAAGGAGCACATTTGCAGAGTATTGTAATTTATATTAATATGTCCATTTCTTTTTTGCATTGCTACTTACTTTTGAAATTTTCATCAACTGCAACACACTGTCTGCTGTACCTTATTAACCAGTGATTTGGTATAAAAACTCTTCATGAAGATATTTAATATGATTTTGTTCCTTCTCCTGTGTTTTATATATTTTGACAGGAATACATAATTTGTTGGTTGTGGGTTATTATTTGTATAGGATCATCCAAGTGGAATGAAAGGCCAATCTGTTGCCGTCACGGAGTACAATCCACCTACCAGACACGTCCCATAGATTAATATAAGCACAGAACAGAGATCCCTCCCCCCAAAAAGTGCATGACAAGCTAATAGCTGCTAATGAGTGAAACCATTACAAGGAACAGTAACACTATACTAAGCCAAAACTACTGAACTTGAGAAAAGTTCCTTGGTTATTAAGTGCTACACAGAATAGGAAAAAACCTTTACTTGTTCTTAAGATGAGCTGAGACAGTTTTTGTGTGAGAGCAGAAATGTGGGATATAAATTTTGTAAAATAAAGAAATACATTTAATCAGCAATTATAAAAAAACCCTACTGGAGAAACCCGCTTTGTGGAATCTGTGTTGCTGCTGCATTGTATTAGCAGATGCAGCAGAAAAAGGGAAACTAAAGAAACCTGTCACTGTGTGGAAAATAGGCTAAGGTCACAGGGAGTTCTTTTATTTTAATTTTTATTTATTTAATCATTTATAGATAGCCTGGCTTTCTGTCCTCACAAGGACCACCAGGTTGGCTAACAAATAAAAACAAACAATTCATATTTTAAACCATTTAAAACCAACACCCCCACAAAAAACACACATCATCAAAATCATTAGAAACAGAGCTAAAATACATACAAAGACATAAAAATAAGAGTTAAAAATTGTTCAGGAAGAAGGGATTGCTGAGGAAATGCCAAACAAAACAAAAAACAGAAGGGGGCATACAGATCTCTCTAGGGAGAGAGCTCCACAGTTTTAGTGCCATGACCAAGAAGGCCCTCTCCTGGTTGTCTTGCCACCTGTCTAATCTAAGCTGGTGGGGGCACACAAAGCAGGCACTTAGAAGATGACTGTAGTTATCAGGTCGGTTCATAAGGGAGTAGGCAGTCCTTCAAGTATGTTGGTCTGGTCTTGAACTATATAGGGATTTGAAGATCAACACTGGCACCTTGAAATGTGCCCTGAAACAAATTGGGACCCAAGATGGGAGTGACATGATCCCTACAACCTACTCCAGTAAACATTCTGGCTGTGGCATTCTTTACCAATTGAAGTTTTCGAACACGTTTCAAGGGTTGCCTCATGTAGAGTGCATTGCAGTCATCTATTCTAGATGTAACCAGGGCATGCACCATAGTGGCCAGATCTTTTCTGCCCAAGAAAGGATGAATCAGGATAACTGATCAAACTGGGTCCAAGAGCACCCCCCCCAAGACTACAGACCTGTTCATTCAAGGGAATTGCAGCCCCATCTGAAACAGATGGCACTTTAAGTCCTGGATCAGACATTCCACCTACCAGTATCACTTCCGTCTCATCAGGATTAAGCTTCAGTTTATTTGCCCACAGCCTTAAAACAAAGGTGAAGGGGCTGAGCAGCAATCTCCCAATACCACCTTCTGAAACCTAACCCTCAAGGAAGGACCAGAACCACCACAGAATGGTACCTCCAAATCTTAGCTTTGATAGGTGGTCCAGAAGGATACAATGATTGATGGTACTGAAAGCCATTGAGAGTTCCAAGAGAATTAGCAGAGTTACACTCCATCTCCCACCACAGGTCATCCACCAGGGTGACAAAGGCTGTTTCAGTCCCATAACCAGGATTAAACCCATATTGGAAGGGATCAAAACAATTTACCTAATCCAGGAAAGCTTGTTCAGCCACCACCTGTTCAATCACCTTGCTCAAGAACGGAATATTTGAGACAGGTTGATAATTATTGAGATCTCCTGGGTCCAGAAGTGGATGCACCACAGCCTGTTTCAAGGCTGGCGCGACTGCCCCTTCTCTTAAGGAAGCATTAAGTATCTCTTAGGCCCAGTTTTCTTTGAAAAGACTAAGGCAAAACTCTTAGAATAATAGTTGCGGTACTGGCTGTGTTTGATCAAGTCTTTCTTTTAGGCACCATTTCACAGCTGGGCTAGTTGGCTATTGTATTTCTTGGGTCAAATTCAGACATGTAAAATGGCTTCCTCTTGCCTGTTCTGTCTTACTTGCTTCCTTTCTCCTGCACATATTCTTCAGAACAACTTATAGAGAAGGACTTGTGAGACCTTTTGGAGTTTAGTAGAACAGGTGGGCTAGTCACTGGCAGAAGGGGCAGAGACTAATTTCAGCATAATGGAAGCAGAAAAATCATGCTAACACAATATACATTATTTGAAATTTGGCTACACCAAAGAGCTACTCAAGGCCATTACAATGAGCTATTTTGTTTTCAGTCCCTTTCCTAATAATCCCTAGCATATAATTTGAATTTCCCCCCACTGCTGACCATTGAGTCAACAGTTTCATTGATATAATCCCAAGGTCTGTTTTCTGGTTAGTCACCATCAGTTAAAACCCCACCAGTATAAGTATGAAGGTAGGGTTCCCCCTGCCATGTGTATCACTTTAAACTTACTTGCATCATTTGCCATGTTGCTGCCTGCTCAGTAATGTTGGAGGGATCTTCTTGGAATTCTGCACGATCAGCTTAGGTTTTCATCATCCTGAATAAATAGGTGTCATCTCCAAACTTGGCCACTTTACTACCAATCCCCAGATTCCAGATTATTTGTGAACCAATTTATGTCTTAAATTAATAAAGCAATGTTTAACTTAAGCATAAATTCTATTAAAACAAAGTAGTGTTTGGATTGAAGAACTAACCAATCAAAGAAGCCTATGTTTTCGGCGGGAACCACTCTCATAGGTTCCAAGCCCTGTATTTCTATTGGGTGTTATCTGTTTGTTGGGTGTGGTTACCCCTGTTCAAAACATATATAAGTCAGACTGGTTCTATGCATTTTTGTCTTGTGTTGTTATGAGCTGAATAAACGTGAATCACTTGTTTAAGAGCTGCCTCAATCTCAGTTCATAATACAACTGAACAGCACCAACCCCAATAGCACATTAAACTGGTACACATCTTTTAATTACATGAATAGAATTGCATTTATATTTATATAATTGCATTTATATTTGGCATGTTCTGACTTGCTGACCAGAATATTCAGAAAAGATGGCAGTCTGACTAAAATCCAAAACAGGCAAAACAAGCAATATTTGATTTTGCTAGTACTAGGAGAGGTAATTCTGACTTGCAAGAGATATGGAGCTGTGCCCAACTGGAATATTTTGATCGGGACCTCGCTTATACATGTATATTCATTGTATGTTAATGAAGATTTACCTGATGAAGGAATAGGTCTGAAACGCTGATTATATTATCTGGAACAGGATAGTTTCCACTTGAAACAAATCTCATTTACTACAAGCCACAATATATAGATGTTTGGACTTCAGTTCAAGGACATGTGATATTTATATATAAAAAAATTTCATTGTGCGCTTGTTCTATTTATGAAGGAAGCCTGCTGCTTTTGAGATACGCTGTGACTTACTGTGGGTTTGAGTTTGTTACCACTTACTTTTGGATAACTGTTCTTTATTATGATTGTGGTTCTACAATAATACATATATGAGTTTGGCATTATTGACTTTTCTTTCTAGATAATTATTGTTGCATTTATTTAGCATGCTTTGACTACAGAGTTGTGATTTCATACAATCCAAAACAAGCAAAACTAGCAATATTTGATTTTGCTAGTACTAGACAAACGTTTGACAGTCTTGGATAGATAATTGTTTAATGAAATAGTCAAATGTGATTTATCCAGCAATTAGGGCCGGCTGTTTCACTAGGCCAACTAGGGCGATGGCCTAGGGCGCAGATCTCCCAGGGGTGCAGCGAGGCCCCTGCCACCGCCGCCCGCCTGCCCCAAGCATGGCTTTCTGGGCGCCTGCTCCACAGCACGCTCCTTCCCACCAGCTTGCTTCACCTCGCGCTCCGCCTCCTCCGTCCTGCTCAGTGCACCCCTTCCTGCCAGCTGGCTTTACCTCGAGCTCCCTGACTTGGTCGATTGTGCGGACTCCCTCTGTGTCGTCCGCCTGGAGCCCAGGTGAGAAAGGCGGACGAGAAATGGCATCACGCCATAAAATGGAAACCAGTCTTGCGTTTCGGGGGTGGGCTCGCTTAGGCACTTCCCTGCTGCTGAAGGACTTCGGGCTGGACCGCTGGGTGCCTTCTCTGGGCTGGAGCCTGGAAGACAGGTCGGTGGGTGTGCATGGACTTGGCTCCGCAGGGGGAGAAGGAGCACAACGAGCACGAGGAGGTGGCCGTCTTCCAGCAGAAGTACAGGGGGGAGAGGGGCAGACAAACAGGCCGAGCTCCTTGCTCAGCGCCCTGGCGGGGCTTGAGGAGGGCACCTGGTTGGCCATGGCTGGAAACAGGGAACTGGGCAGAGCCTCAATCAGAGGCAGCAGCAGCGCCTCTCTCCTTCGATGTTAAATGTGGTTTCCGCAAGCGTTCTTGAGCATCGCGAGATAAGGGGACAGGTTTTTTTTAAAAAAATAATTGATTGCTGAAGCCATTCCTGGCCAGAGCCTGCAACCTGACCTCAACTGCAAGGCAGGGAGGGAAGAGGAAATGCCCGCCCCGCTGGCAAAGGAGTCCCCCGCAACCAACCCCCCGTTGGTTAGTCTTTAAGGTGCTGCTGGACCTTTGCTCTTTTCCAAATCCTCCAGGGATTCTGTTGAACATCCAGGTCAGCAGGACAACCCCCCTCAGCTTCCCCTTCTAGGGAGGGACCAGGGAGGTTTCTCAGATATTGTGCTCTGCCCCTTAGATGATGGGACTTCTGCTCCAAGGGGACTTCCAGCACCAGGGCTGGGCCAAGAAGCTGTTGTCCAGTGTGTGTGGGATTTCTGGACTATCGTCTTGGATTTGGTTCTGTTCCACAAAGACCCAAGTTACTCAACCAGTAGAAACTGATTTTGGACTTCACTGCTGCCCCCTGCGCACAAGAACCGGTTGTGTATTTGAACACACTCCTTGTCAGTGAAGGGGGGGATTAGTCATCAGGGCTAGGCTTACCAAACTCCAGGTGGGGGCTGGAGATCTCCTGGAATTACAACGGTTCCCCAAACTACATCAATCATTTGTTTCAATGGAGGCCCAGGTAGCAGCTGCTGCCAAGGCAGCCTTTTACCATCTTCGGCTGATTAGGCAGTTGGTTCCCTTCCTCAAACACAATGATCTGGCTGCAGTGATCTATACTTTGGTCACCTCGAGGTTGGACTACTGCAATGCTCTCTACATGGGGCTGCCCTTGGTCCAACTCTGGAAGCTGCAGCTGGTGCAGAATGCAGCGGCCAGGCTGCTGATGGGTCTCCCCAGGTGGGAGCACATCCAACCTGTGCTTAAGTCTCTGCACTGGCTGCCAATAGCATTCCGGATTCGTTTCAAGGTGCTGGTTTTGACCTTTAAAGCCCTTTATGGTCAGGGAGCGGCCTACCTGAGGGACTGCCTTTCCCCGCAAGTTCCCCAGAGAGCACTGCGATCAGGATCCCAAAACTGCCTAGACCTCCCTGGCCCAAAGGAAGTCAGGTTGATGGCAACTAGGACCAGGGCTTTCTCGTTTGTAGCTCCATCCTACTGGGACAAGCTTCCTGCCGAGATCCGGGCCCTGCGGGACCTGTCACAGTTCCGCAGGGCCATGAAAACAGCTTTTTAGGCAGGCATTCCGTTAGGAGTGGCGTCTTACCAGCAGCGCCCTGTGTGAACTCCGATCCAACACGACTTAGCGCAGCAGCACCACTGAATGTTTCCTTAAATTGCACTTTTTTTTTCGCCATCGAAGTGATGTTTTAAATTGATTTGTCTGTGTTTTGAATCATTTACATTATTTTATCAATTGTAAAATGTATACTGTTTAGCAGTTTTGTGGAAGCCGCCCTGAGCCTGCCTTGGCGGGGAGGGTGGGGTAAAAGTTCAATAAATAAATAAATAAATAATTGAGGGTTTTTTTGTCCATAGTTTTATGATGCAATTATGGATGAATTACCATTTCTTAAACTATTTTATACTTAAATTGTGCATCTCTATACACTGCCTTGCAAAGAAGCTTTAACTATATTTCCTATAATACAGCTCCTGGGTCACATTTCATTTTAACTCATTGTTGAGAATCTGTTGATTTTTTAAAAAGGCTGACTGTGTAATCTTACACATTTTACAAAATGTGTTCCTTTATTCCTAGTCACCTGCCCATAGCTATTCAAGCTATGATTCTGGCAAAAATGAAAGCATGGACAGAGGTGCTGAAGACCTCTCCCTGAACCGGGGAGAGGAGGATGAGGATGACCATGATGAACAAGAAGATGCTGAAAAGGCTACTGAAACTGACGGGGTAGAAGCTGAGCGGCTGAAAGCTTTTAATGTGAGTTGTCTTCGAGCTTTTCTGAATTTAATTTTGTTTTAATTTGGGGCTGTTGTTTATGGGTAAATGTTGCATTAAAAGAGTTGCATTAATTTTATTTATGAAACCCTCCCCACAAGCCCATTAGAACACTTAGAAGTCACCAGGTTAACCAGATTTAAGCTTCTTTAATGCAGGAGAATTCTCTACTGTGTGTATTTGTATGTGTTTTTGTGTGCATGTTTGCCCAATGGATGGAAGCAGTGGGACAAGGCCTGCAGATAGATTCTCAAGAGTATTCTTGTGGTCAACTATTTTCTGCTATTTCCCATTTATATAATTTTGCATGACAACATGAAGAATTATTCACAGCAAGGGAAGAGCTATAGACAGAGTAGAACAATGCAGCAATGATAGCACATTGTTAATAAAAGACATAAAGCCATAGCTATTTCCACAACCTGTGTTTTATTTCCTTCACAATTTCTGTACACTATAGTCTAATCTTTTCTTGTCTTTTTTTTGTCAGTCCTAAAATAAAATCCTCGTTTGCTTAACATTTCTGGCTTTCCATTACAAAGCTCTTCACTGTGTAAGAAAAACAAACAAACAAACATGTCTTCCTATCTGTAATTGAGACGGGAAGCTTAGGAAGAGAAGAGAGCACCCCTCCAAATCCTTCTCCTCTGTCTCCCTCTTGCCAACAGATGTTTGTCAGGCTGTTTGTAGATGAAAACTTGGACCGAATGGTCCCAATCTCTAAGCAGCCCAAAGAAAAGATCCAGGCTATCATTGACTCATGCAGGCGACAATTCCCTGAGTATCAAGAGCGTGCCAGAAAGCGTATACGTACTTACCTCAAGTCCTGCAGGCGGATGAAAAGGAGTGGTTTTGAGATGGTGAGTTTTGATCTAAAACCCAGCCCTAGTTTCCATCAAAACCCCCATATGTAAATCCATGACACTATTTTGTTTTCATCTTAGTGTCTCTTTTATTTTTATTTTTGGTGACGTCAGGTCAGAGGTTTTGCTCCCTCCTTTCATACTTACCTGGATTTTTTCTTCCTTTGTTGAATGAACTTGAAATGCCTCAAGAAAAATATAGTTCATAGTTATGGAGACCACAGCAAGATATAAAGGAAGTCACACAGAGAAATAATTATATTTTGGTCAGCATTTTGACACTTATTTAGAAGACATATTGGCCCAAATCCATGGTTATGTGAGTACAACAACAAGCTGTAGTGTACAACTTCACTTGCATATGCAGATATGCATCTGTACATAGCTATTAATTACCCTTGGATGGAGAGAAGCTGGATCCAGGCCTTCCCCTTGCCATACATACAATTTGATTTAGCTCTATAAAAGCTAACAGAGATTATCAGGGCAGTGCACATGTTTCCTGATCCAGCAGGGAATAGCCGTTGGCACTTGGTGATACAATACATGTGATCTACCTACATGCTAGGGTAAGCCAATTAATTATTGCCCTGGTGGTGCAATTGCTGTGAAATGGTTCTGCTGGACGGCTTCCTAGGTGATCTATAGAAACACTGTGGGAGAGATATTTAGGGAAGTTGTTCAGCAAATCATGATAAGAAATTAATTATTTATACCCAACACAACACAAACTCAAGATGAACACAGCACTCTTAACTTTTTGCCTTCTTTGTGCCTTTTAGCCTTTAGAGTACACTTTTAACTCTCTCTTTTTAGAACTGGTACACTAAGCAGAATTATACCCTTCTACTACAGTCAATTGGCTCTTTCCTTAGGATGTCACTGCAAAGAACTTAGACTGTAGCAACTCTGCATGTGATTGCACTGTAACGTTATAAATGCTTATTTGGGCATTTCTAGGATCTCTCTGAGAAAATAAGAACTAACAAAACCTGTGGTGCTGTCATGATGCAGCGTCTGAACACATCCCATTTTAAGTAGAAAGGAACAACTAGGTTGCAGACTATTATCACTATCAGCATTTCCAAGACAATCCTCCCCCTCTTCATAATTCCAGACATCTGCCTTTTTGTCATTTTAACAATTAAATAAAAATCATGCTTTGTAATTCCTTCCTTCCTTCCTTCCTTCCTTCCTTCCTTCCTTCCTTCCTTCCTCCCTCTCTCTCTTTCTCTCTCTCTCTCTCTCTCAATGTCCATTTATTTTTTTCAGAATGTAGATGGTTGTTTTACAAAAAAAATGAGCACATCTGCTAAAATCGCTAGCTTGGGAAATGAGAGAAGCACTATTTGTAAAGTTACACAAGTGTGACACTTGCTAGACTTGTGTAGCTGATGACAAGCCATAGTACCTATGTACAAAGGATAAAATAGATTAAAAGGGGAAAAGACAATCAGAAGAATTTGTACAAATTGCATGACAAAATTTTAAAAGGTATAAAACATTTTGAGCTGTATATTAATTTGAAATTATTGATGCATATTAACTCTACTAAACAGTATCATTAAGTATTTATTTGGTGTGGATAAAATGATTTATTAGCTAATATTCTTCATGAAACTATCTGATGTTGGTAAGTTTCCTGTCTTCTACTGAGCCAAACAGTACATGGTTAGGCTCAAATATGACTTGACTCAGAAGGGTTATACTTGGACACATTCCAGCATGGCCAAAAGATGTCTATATAGATGAAGAATGGGACAGTGTAAATAGACAACAAGTTCTCTAGACCTCTTGCTGGCTGTGGAAAGCCATGACAAGCCTCCCTCTCTCACCCACAGAAGCAGCCCTGTTTGAGAACTATTGCCATGGCTGAGTAAAAGAAGCCAGCAGAAGCTTAACCTGGAATAAACCCAGAGCACCTTTTCCCACAAATCTTTCCTCAGCAACTGTACTGCCAGAGAGTGGCTGCCAACACAGAGGCCACAAGAAAGAAGAGGTTTCCACCAAGAAGGATGGCTAAAAGAGACAGTGATGGTAACTGAGTCTCCTCATGATGATGAGGCCTGTTATCCTGACATGGTCTCTAAATGTTTGCTATAGGCCGTTGCTTTCATAACATTAGTGGGGTAGGGAGGGCAATCCACCTCATACCTCGTTGTCCCACTGAAGGTTTCTTTCACATACTATTTTCACTAGACTTATCAATACTTGTCACCCAATGAATTTCATGGCTGAGCATAGATGTAAGCCTAGATCTCCCCAGGTTAAGTCCTGTACCTGTACTCTAATAAGTAAACCAGACTGGATCTGAAGAATACAGTGCTGGGCATATGACCACTGTGGTCGTTGGTCATGCTTAGCTACCAATGCTATGCTCCATCAAGTGCTCACAGGAAGACTCTGTAAGGCCAAAATAGGTGCTGCCTCCCCCTCATCTAGGGTCCACAATACACCACTGAGACAAGCAAGGCAGTTGTAGAAGACCACAGGGAATGCAACACTGAGAGATGGGCAGCACTGAGGGAATGAGGATCTCTCACAGTGGAATATGCTGTCTCAGGACAGTTAAGAAGATAGAATAGGTGATTGATTGTGAGCGGTAACTTCCATAGGTGAAGGCAAGCTGACATTCCAAAGTGTGGTGAACGTGGATTGAACACACAACACAGCTAATGCATTCAAAGATATTTATTTTCAGGGCACAGAATGTGTGTTCAAACCATTTTCACTATGTTGCTTTCATTCTGAATAATCTGTAATACTTGTGAAGTAAACCATACTTTGTGTAGCGTGGACATTTTTCTACTTAGGGATGGTTAGGTCATGTATGCTTTCCTAGTGGTTTGCATTTGTGTGATATATCATTACTTATAACTCACCTTCCTGAATGAGTCCAATCTGAGGGTGATTTATTTTTTTGCTTTGTTTTGGTGTTGCTGCCAGGACAAATGGTAGAAGTGTGAGTTCACTGCAGCGTCTAATTATTCTTCATTCCTTCTCACAAATTAGAGTCAGTTCTAAACAACAGTGATTAAGATGTGTCAAAAGGAATTTATTCTTGGAAATAATGTCATTCTGAAATGGCTGATGTTCCTTATCTATATTTTACTTTTAAATTACTTTCTCTATAGTTACATAATTGAAAGGTAATTGGAATGTACTTTTCCTATTTAACCGAATTATTAAATATCTCAAACCTACATTTTTTTTAATGAACAGCACCATTTCTAAAAAAAATTGGCAGTCTGCCACTATGGATACCACAGTACAGTGTAGGATAGCATATTCCTGTACAGCCAGCAGTTTTTTAAATTCAGATATTAACTGACTGAAAGCCACATTTAAAATGCCCCTGTTTGTTAATATAGTTATTATAACTAATCCAAACTTTAAAATTAAAGACAGTCGGTAACACTCAGTAACATTTGGACTTGGGTGATATTCTGCTGCCTGGCTGCATGGCCTTAAGAATTCAAGAAGACCAGAGAGGCTAGGGAGAGTGGCTCAGCATTGCTATTTTACAGGCATGTCTACCAGTCAGCTGAACTGTACAGACATATTGCCACTGCTCTGAAGAGGACTGTGCTGAGAAAGTCAGTGTGGAGAGGACTTTGATTTGATTTGATAAATGGAGTGGTTCTGATCCTATTTGCTTATTCTACGCCTGCTTTCCCCAGCACTAGGCAATAGCCAATGCTGCTGCTGAGGCTGACAAAGGCAAATTTGTTGCTTGCAGTGCTGCAGACTTGGAGCAGGTGGATCAAGGCAAATGCTTCACTTTTATACCGGGACACCAGACAGCATCTGCCATGTGATCTTAATGTGCAGCATTGCAATTGGTTGTACAACACCAACACATGTACACATGACCAAATCAGACAAAACATGAGAAATCAGTTATTTATATATTTACTTCATTTGTTATTATTAATTATTAATAAGATTTTTACCCTGCCTTTCTGCCCTTATAGGTGCCTAACAAATTAAAACTTACAAATTAAAATATCATCTTAGAAGCCATTAAAACCAACGTACAAATACATAATTAAGAGAAGTTAAAACTAGAGCTTAAAGTAAGTACAACAGGTAAAAAACAGTTAAAACTTTAGAAAGGAAGGAGGGATCACCGAGGGAATGCAAAGTGAAACAAAAAATGTTTTCACCTGCTGGTGGAAGATGGCAACAAAAGGGGACAGGCAGATTGCCCTGGGGAGAGAGTTCCAGAGATTTGGTGCCACAACTGAGAAGACCCTATCCTGCATTGCTACCCACCTTACCAGAGAAGGCAGGAGCTGAATCAGGCCCTCAGAAAATAATTGCGGTTGTTGGATAGGTTTGTAAGGGAGTAGGCAGTCCTTCCGGTAAGTTGGCCCAAACCAGTTTGGTGTAGTGGTTAGGAGCATGGACTCTAATCCGGGAGCACCGGGTTTGATTCCTCACTCCTCCACATGCAGCTGCTGGTGTGACCTTGGATGAGTTACAAGTTCTTTCAGAGCTGGTCTCTCATGAGCAGTTCTCAAAAGAGCTCTCTCAGCCCCACCTACCTCACAGGGTTTCTGTTGTGGGGAGGGGAAGGGAAAGGAGATTTTAAGCTGCTCTGAGACTCCTTTGGGTAGTGAAGGGCACGGTATAAATCCAATCTCTTCTTCTTCTTCTACCATATAAAGTTTTAAATGACAGCACCAGTACCTTGAATTATGCCCAGAAACAAATTGGAAGCCAGTGTAGATGAGCCAAGGGTGGAATGATATGGACCTAAACATAACAACTGAAGCTTCCAAACATTTTTTTTTAAGGGCAGTCCCCAGCAGAGAGCACTGCAATAACCTAATCTAGCTGTAACCAGAACCAACTGAAGTTTCCAAACATTTTTTAAGGGCAGCCCCCAGCAGAGAGCATTGCAATAACCTAATCTAGCTGTAACCAGAGCATATACCACAGTAGCCAGATCTTTCCTACTCAGGAAAGTCTGCAACTGGCTAACCAGTCAAAAC